GTATGGTGCAATGTCATCCATATGGCATATAAGAAACAATCTCACTTTTAAAGCAATTGAATGAAGCTTATAAATTTCGTACAATCTTTTGCTTAGTTACGTGATGTGTTGCACTAGTATACGTTTCTTCTTTTTCAAATCAGTTGATATTATTGAACAGTCAGCTCAGTTCTGAAAAAAATGTAAACAATAAATTATATAGATTATTTCTAAAAATTACTCAAAATTCGTTTGTTTCTCCGTTCTCCTCTTCCGTCCGCTTACGTTTGTTATGGAAATAGTCGGATTCCTCGTCGACAACCACACGTAATCTCTTGAGACTGTTTTCGCCTTCATTGCTGCTACTCTTCGTATTCTCCTCTTCATCTTCAATTTGGCGATCACTTTTTTGACTCACCTTGAATTGGTGATGTAAGCTTTGATCCTGTATTGACTTCTGTTTGTGACGTACAAAATCCTCGTTATTTGGACTTTGGTCTTGATCAAATTGATCATTTACATTTTGTTGGATACCTATTTGTTCAGTTTGGTTTTGTTTCGAATGATGTTCTCTATATAGTTCAGCGATTGGACCATCAGATGAAAGATCAATCTTTCCCGTTTCTGCATCGTTGCTTGTCGGTACATCATCAGATTGCAGTTTGCCATTTATTGCATCTGTGTGAATATAAATACAAAAGTTATACAACTGACATTGAGATAAAAGTCCATTGGTCAGTGGTTACTCAGCACGCTTGTAAGAGTAAATTATGTTTTACAGTCTGTATTGGATCGAAATTTCCTGTTGCTTTTGATCACGATGAGAAAGGATTTGAACCTACACTCTACCAAGTGACAAAGTGAAAGGAAGTAAAACGAGAAAATATATATTGTTAACACTATCATCATCATCAGCAGCAGCAGCAGCAGCGTTTTATCGTCATATGTCAATGTTCGTCGTTGGTGTTAGTATCGGTGTTACCATAATTTTCATTCCAACAACTGATAAGCACGATTAAAAGAGGAACAGTAGGCAATTGGAATGGTATAGTCTAGGATACTAATGCAATCAGGTGTGTTATTGAATATTTATTCCTATTGTGACATGAAGGTTTATATTTTATTATAGTTTACTCACCTTTGCGGTCAGTGTTTTCGTTGCATTCATCTAATGGGTCAAGACTTGAATTATCCACATTATCAGGAGAGCAAATGTTGATAGTTGAATCCTCTTGGGTCTCTGTCTTTGGGATACCCACTCCACTGCCATTGCTGTTAGAGTATTCCAAATCTGAGTTGAATTCTTCACCAGGGTCTTGAGAGTTTGAAATTATGGAATCTGATTCGGAACTCGTGTCCGTTTTTAATTCACATTCGGGAGAATCACCCTCTTTGCCGGACTTTGAAGTGGACTGGGATAAACGGTCATTCATATCAATGAGTAAGGATTTTGCTTTTTTGTACCAATCCCCACTCGGTTCTGGAGCAAATGGGGTACGGAACCCGACAGATATTCCCTCATTACATGTATTAAATTTCCTATCATCTACCTTCGATCGTTCTGTTTCATTCACATCTATTGTAGTACATTTGCCTAATGCTTCAAGGTGCTTGAAAACCCATAGTCTTCGGTTGTCGGTTGTGTACCAATGGTCTTTGTACCAACATACTGTTATTGAAGGAATGTTCGATATCGTCTGCCTGCCATCACATATTTCTATCAATGTATCTTCTATTGGTTTTTTCGGATGTCTGCTTTTTGTATCAAAAACAGTACTGATTGTAGCTTGGGAGTAACGTATTTCGGATGGTCGCAGTTGAACCATTGTGTAATGGTGAAAGATGACTCGTAAACTTAGACCTTTACAGAAATAAATCCCTTGCTACCTCTTTTCCCAACGACCGTCTAGCTCGCAATTCTACCCGAAGCGTAGATTATTTATTCTTCCATTTCATAAGCGTAGGTGTAACTCGTTTCTGTTTCGTTTTCTGTTCCCGAAAACATAGACAATTTCTACTTTCGTGTATAGTCTTAGAATAACTCCATTTTTGCAGAATATATACTAAATTGGTTAGTTTGATTTTAGATTTATACAGATAACTATTGTTAGAAAACAGTTTCAGAAACAAACTGGGAACATGTTAGGAAGGAATATACAACACTGGACATCTATTTTAGGATTGTTCTGTTACTGCAGTAGTGTTTTGAATTTGAAGTTGTCTTAAATGTTTTAATTTCTCGCAAAATTATTTTGTTAAATGTAATAATTTGAACAATATTGCTGCTAACTTCCACTTTAAATATCTAGCAAACTGTGTTGACATACAAAAGACTTTACGTTCTCACATGATTGTGTGATTATTTTCTCTGGAGGGTAGACTTTGTCAGGTTTAGTTAACATTTTTTGAGTTTTTTGAAGGAGGTAAAATTTATTTTCTTTCGAGTTTTCAGGGATCTTGTATTTGTTTAAATTTAACAACTAACAAAAATATGTTAGTAATGTTATTTATGACAATTCCTGAGTGTTATGTGATTCGGATATGGACCAAGCCCTCTAAAAATTACCCAACACCATAAAAATGAGACAATTATATTAGTGCTATGGGATCTGGTGATGGCATAAGCCAGGAGTCGCAAACATGCAACCTTTGGAAACGACAATCTGAACTTGTAAAATAATTAATATTACAAATGAAAATTATTCAGTGATGCGGCACTCTGGTCAGTGTACTAATCCTAAGCGGGCTTTCGTAGGGATATGCCTTTGAGAACCCTGTTGTAAACACTTTAAAAATTTCTTGTCATTAATAATATTAGACAATGGGTGAGTATTATGGGATTTTAATTATGGTCCAAGAACACTAAACATTTGTTGTTAGTATTTACGAAACAACATTTTATTGTTTTGGAGTTTGATCATGATTAACGCCTATCTAAACTTTCCCATCACTATTAAGATGAGAGCCTGTTTAAGTGTTATGGGATTTGATCATAGTCCAAGCCAAATGAAAATTACTCGTAACTATTAGGTAGACACTGCTTTGAGTATTATAGGATTGTATCATAGTCCAAGCCCAATGTAAATTATACATAACTAATTAGACTAGACTCTGAGTGCTATAAGATTTGATCCTAGCCCACCACAATATAAAGTATACATACATAATTAGACGAGACAGTGTTTGAGTGTTATGGGATTTGATCATGGTCCAAGACCAATGTAAATTTGCTCGAAAACTAATTAGAAAAGACAATGTATAATTTTATGGGATTTGAATCATGGTTGACCCAAGTGAAAATAACTCGAAAATAAATAGATGAGACATGGTCTGAATGTTATGGGATTTGACCATGGTCCAAACCCAACGTAATTACTCGTAACTAATTAAGCGCTGCAGTGATTGAATAAATATACTGTTTGATCGTAGCCAAAAACATTGAAAATTTGCTATCAATATTGCGAAAAGACCATTTTTACGTTGGTGATTTTCGTTCTAAAGTAATCTAAAATATTCATTTTCCTACATGATTAACAAATAAACATGTTGTATGCATACAAGTTGCTCAAGTCAGTCTATAATACATTACGATCATCGGAATATATATATATATATATATATATATATATATATATATATATATATATATATATATATATATATATATATATATATATATATATATATATATATATACGTCAATGTTATACCCGGTGCCCTTTTCTGAAAATCAGCTACCTAGTTTTACATTGGGTGGTTTCCAAAATACGGTTGGCAGCTACCACAGTAAATGTATACGAAAATATTTTAACCTCGATAGATTATAATATCATCTGTGCACGTCAATGCGTGCAGCAAATTAACCTGTGATACAGGTAAACTAGCAATCTGAGACACGCATACCACCATTACTGTACCAATTTCGGGGTCGTCGTTTGGGTCTCGTTGTACAAGAGTAAATTAGCGTTTATTTTGATAACGAACACTAGATCATTTTTAGGGTACAAATAAAGTGAAACCGAAGTTTGTAGAGGAAAAAGCAACGCAGACCACCTTACTACTTCCTCGTGGAGTTTTTTTTTTACTGATCACACTGAAAGCAAATATGTTCTAATATTCTAGAAATTAATACCAGTACTATCGATTAGATATTGATTCTGATATTGTCATCGTTTATAAATAAGGTTAGTTAAAACTCAACAATTTAAAAGCGGAATATAAAGATCTTTCTAACAATATTTTATTATCAGATTTAGCGAAAGACAATACTCATTGCAAATACATTATATTATCGTTGAATAAAACATCTAACAGAGATGAGTACATCGAACATTTTATCCATGTATACCGTGGTATTTCTGAATATTTAACATATATATATATATATATATATATATATATATATATATATATATATATATATATATATATATATATATATATATATATAGACGCAATATATATACGCTATATAATATATATACGCTATATATATATATATATATATATATATATATATATATATATAGTATATATAGCGTATATATATATATAGCGTATATATATGCGTATATATATTATATAGCGTATATATATTGCGTGTATATATATATATATATATATATATATATATATATATATATATATATATATATACGCTATATATATATATGTGTGTGTGTGTTTGTGTGTGTACGATATATATATATATATATATATATATATATATATATATATATATATATATATATATATATATATATATATACGCTGTATCAATGATATACCAAGAGATGTATAGATTCTTCATTAAAAGGAAACGAAGCTTGCTGAGTTTCCTTTTAATGAAATAAATTAGACAATGAGTTGTAAATCATTCATACAGCGTACATACTGGTTTAATAAGTACATCTTTATTTCGTTTACCACTTTTCTTTTAATCGAAGATTGCTATATCGATCCACCAGTCCTTACAGGGTTGATTTTCAGACAACAATAATGGGTACAACGCTGACATATATGACCACTCCGGTGGCCTAGTGGTTGGAGCGTCCGTCTTGGATGCGGGAAGTCCTGTGTTCGATACCCGGACGAGTCATACCAAAAACTTACAAAAATGGTTTAAACAGCTGCCTCGCTTGGCGCTCAGTATTAAGAGGTTAGTGCTAGGACTGGTCGGCCTGATGTCATGATAATGTGACTGGGTGGGACGACATAATATAGGTCAGCGGCATGATGCCCAATTGCTACGCTATAAACTGCCACGCTTTTGCAGCACTGCAGACATAGCGATACGACTGAGAAATTGCTAAAGCTACTTTCAAAATCCAAATCACATACACAGTCACACACAATGATATATAGAGTTAAAGATAGAATAATACGTGTACTAATCCATGAATTTAAAAATGCATACAACTATATAAATGAAGAAAGAAGATTATTGAACAAGTGTCACACCTGATACTAAAATTACACTTGTTCTAAGGTACTCACATGGTTGTTGCTTAAGATCAAATGATCACTTGTTCTCATGGAATAAGGGAGTCATTGGTGACATCTGTATTGGATTCAAAGAAGAGAGCAAAACTCTTTCATGTTGGAGATATAATGGATTTTATTTTTATGGAAAAAGGAAATGATATCGACGTTGTCTGACAACAACACCCCCCCATTTCCTCCTGGAGAGCCTTGTTTTTATTCTTACACCGTATAAAAAGTATCAGTACTACAATTGCCTGATAGACAGTCCCTTACACCATATAAAAGTAGCATTACTACAATTGCCTGATAGACAGTCCCTTACACCGTATAAAACGTAGCATTACTACAATTGCCTGATAGACAGTCCCTTACGCTGTATAAAAAGTAGCATTACTACAATTGCTTGATAGACAGTCCCTTACACCGTATAAAACGTAGCATTACTACAAATGCCTGATAGACAGTCCCTTACACCGTATAAAAAGTAGCATTACTACAATTGCCTGATAGACAGTCCCTTATACTGTATAAAAAGTAGCATTACTACAATTGCCTGATAGACAGTCCCTTACACCGTATAAAAAGTAGCATTACTACAATTGCCTGATAGACAGTCCCTTACACCGTATAAAAGTAGCATTACTACAATTGCCTGATAGACAGTCCCTTACACCGTATAAAACGTATCAGTACTACAATTGCCTGATAGACAGTCCCTTACACTGTATAAAAAGTAGCATTACTACAATTGCCTGATAGACAGTCCCTTATACCGTATAAAAAGTATCAGTACTACAATTGCCTGATAGACAGTCCCTTACACCGTATAAAAAGTATCAGTACTACAATTGCCTGATAGACAATAGTAGTATAGGAAAATGAGGATTTGGCCCACCCCCTCCCACACCTCCTCCCCCACCCCCGCCAAACCTCTCATTTCCCTATACTACTACTACGTAGACTGGTATTTTGTAACCAGACAAAACAACAGGTGTTGGAATGCGATAAGCTCTGTCAACAGAAGTGACGAATTTGTTAGAACAGCGTATGTGTGGAATATGATTATTCTAAAGACGGCAAATAGGTTTTACCACAACTTTTTTTATCAGATAACAGGATGAAAATTAAACTATGCATTAGAACGTTTCAGTTAACAAGGCGGAAATTAAACTAGCATTAGAATGAAAATATTATTTTATATCTCGTTACCAATGATTAATGTTTCAACTGTTGATATTAAAAATACTTCACTATCACGACTATAGATAAAAAATTTTACTTTACCGCTCACACAGCGATGGGACTCTACAAATCTTTCATTTCTGGTTTGTTCAGAGGATATTTATTGTTGATAAAATATACCTTTGACCGATCGAGATCAATTGTGAGTTTAGTATAGTTTTGTTGGCTAATGGGGCTGTGAAAGTTTTTAAATTCCGCTAGCAACTTTTGATACAATTGTTCGAGATAATTGAAATACACGCTGTTATCAGATCTGATGAGCGAAAGTTTTAACTTGTCACGTGTTCCATTAAAACATATACCTGATGTTTCATTATTAAATTCAACTGTCAATTGTTTACCGTCCATCATTAGATATTTGATGTTACTATTGTAGCTATTTGTCATTGTCAAAATTTCAAACATTATTTTATAAGTTTAGATCAAATTTCAGTTGGAAAAGATAATGTCGAGTATAGATCTATCATCATGACAATACCCAAGGGCAAATGTATATACCCCATTTTCGCAATAACGTTTGTCATCAAAATTATACAATCCACGTTTGATAATGACATCTGTTTCGAGTTTATGATGATTAGTTCGAATTGCCATAGCTCTCATAAAACTAACACCGACATCAAGCGCATACCTGTAGTCATCAAATTTCATAAACTTTTTAACAAAATCACGAGGCAGACCTTTTGCTTTTTTCGTTATTTTATTATTGTCCAATAATACGGCATACATTTTACTACGTAATCCGATAAAGTATTTGATAGCGCTTGAGTTCATTTCATCTTTAAACTTACCAATAACCTTTTTATTTGTGTCGTCATGAAATTTCGATTTCATATACGAGCGAATCAGTATCAGTAAACAATAATCTACTAGCCGGCCACTGATTTTTAACAAAAGTGTAATGAAAATCGTACATCAGCCACTTTGATAAATCTAACACTGCAGCTCCAACATAGATCGGCTTGTTTAGTTTTAGATTTGTTTTTCTTCTTTGTATTGCAACAAGATTTTCATTAAATATTTTCATGCTCACAAAATCATCGTCTGACACAAGTTTGTTTCTGCGATTGACATCATTAACTATTTCAATATTTACACGTTTCCTAATATTCTCCATCGTCTTACCAAAAACGGAATTGTTCATCAGTTTAAAGAAGTTTTTTTTTTTAAACTCTGTTTTCGCTGCAGCCCTTATTGAAGTGTTTGAGTTAATATAACCTCTCATCCAGGGCGACTGATTAAATTTTAGTACACGATGAACTTTTCTCAACACAAGACCAGCATCGACTGCTTGTTTTAAAACTTTGTAATGCAAAACATAATTTTTCTTATCAAGTAAATTTGGTACTAGTTTCTTGACCATGGAATGTTGCCTTGGTGATGCTAACGCTTGTTGTTCTTTTGATAACAAGCTATAATCTATGACCATCGATTCCGCACAGAAAGGGTAATCATTATGAAATTTGTGTAGCGAATTTGGATAATCAAGATCAACTTCAACGAAATAGGAAACATCTTCGGGTATCTTTTTTTCTGTCTCCGATAGAAATCGATCAGCCGTGATCCAATGAAATCCACCAAGAGGCATTGGTTCTGCCATCGAATACCCGTACAAGTTATAACAATCTAGATAGACTATATACTTCGAAGGAAGGTCAGGGTTATACTGTTTCAAATATTTGTTGTTTGCTTCAGCATATTTTTTGTTATCACACTAATACCGCCTCTGATACCTTTTTCAATAAAATTGAACATATCAACGTCAGTCAGTAATTCTAACCTTACCTTGCTAAACTTTAGCAGAGCATCCCATGACAACCCAGGGGCAGAATAATACCAGCAAGGATCTAGTCCGTAATTATTATAACTCACTTCTCGAAAACTTTCAAAAACATCTGATAATAATAACACGTCAGTTTTCAAATAAAAATCATGATAGTCACCAAAAGTCTCACAATCAAACTCTTTCCAGATATCTTGTGCATACCTGTACTCATCATCAGTTATATTTTCATATTTAAGTTGTGAGTAAAATTATTCTTTGCCAGGTAAAGATGTTTCATCAAATTTACTCCAGTCGTCGAGGTATTCGTATGGAAAAACTCCTTTTTTAGCTAGTAGATTAAATTTATCTCCAAAACAGTCTCTTAGGTTATCAAATTTACTACAACCTTTTACTAGCTCATCTAACGAGGCTGCCATAAACTGCAGGCTGTCAATAAAACGCAATTTACCTAGCGTAACTGACATGTACTTTTCAAAATTATTTGGGATGCATTTGATGACATTATCGAGTTTTAGACGAGATTTTATATCAGGATCACCAAAAGCTTCTACTATAATATGGCTATCATATCCTCGAAAATTGTGAAGAATAACTGGAATAAAATATGGAGCATGAAATTTTAAATTACACTGATTATGAGCCGCTCCACGATACTGTCCAGTCAAATGACAATGGTCATGTACTTTTTTGTTGTCAGTATCAAAAGCTTTTTCACAAATATGACAAATTTCTGCTTGCTCGTGATCGGATACTTGTTGAGGTGTTAATTTTAACATTGGCGTTACTTTTTTCAAACGAGTAAATATATTATCAACTTCGTTAATCAACTGCTTGAGAAGCCAAACAGCTGGATTTTTACCACGATATAATTTAATTGGTTTAGATAATCTAGAATCAGTACAACAAACTACCTTATACGCTACTCCACACGGAACATGATTTTGAACTTTTCTTTGACTCGATTGATTAGGATTATTTTCTACGCCAAGTACAGGTTGAAGTAAACACTCAAAATCAGCGTATATAACGAAAGGAATTTTTAGTTTGTGATTATGATGGACAAACTGTAACACACTATCTTTTTTAGATGGCATTGTTATTCTTTGCACAACATTACAGTACAGCAAATGCTTTTGTAATGTTTCATTGTTAGCACAACCATGCAAGCAGCGGTAACAAAAGAACTTTTTGTTCCTATTTTTATTGTACTGTTTACCAACTAGTCCATTAAAGTTTTTAATCCAAGCGTAATGATTTTTGTAAAACAGTAAATTTATAGTCGATTGTGAAGCTTTTTCTGAAATATATCTCGGGTATACATCCTCTTTTTCATCTAGTCCGAAAACGTTAATTGAAACATTATTTTGCTTTTCAAATTTTGGTATTTGATTTTCTGCCACAGGAAAGTTAATATCTTTAAAATTTAATCTAGACACGTGACTGATATATTCTTCAACGCGATCAGCGTGTTTTTCTGCTGGAAATAGTGCGGAAGGAACAGCCCATTGGAAACACTTGTTATCTACGTTTTTGATGTTTATACAACATCTTTTATTTTTTATTTTTGGTGGCAGGTCGATGTATGA